GTTGGTGGCTGCAGAGGCTTCAAGAGGGGGTCAGATTCCTGGGGACTAGAGTTACAGAAGGTTTGAGCTGGCATGTGGGTGCTGGGAATCAAACCCAGGGCCTCTGTAAGAGCGTGCTCTGTAAGACTGGTGCTCTTCTTAACTGCTCCACTGTCTCGCCAGCCCCCAGCTGCGCTTTTGAGAGTCAAGGTCATGCCTAAAACATTCAAGGTGCTCAGGGAGGAAGTGGGCCCTACAAGTGGCCTCAGCCTGGCCGTCCGGGGCTTTAAGCTACTGACATAAGCCACCTACGTTACTCGGCAGCAGCGATCTGTGGCGTTCAAAATGCTGTGACCTTTAATAGGCAAAGGCGCCTTTATAAATGCTCAGTTCCAAGCGTGTGGGCCCACACGGGCTCCAGTGGCCTGGACTATGGTCGTGCTGGTCGAGGTCCAGTTCCTCCGAAAAAGCCAAGCCCTGACTACTTTCAAGCCGGGCATTTCAGAGCACCTGTGCCTGCCCCGCCTCTCTAACCCAGCCCCTCCCCTTAGCCCAGTTATCACACACAGAGCTGCTTTTCTTGGGGAGCGAGGGGAAGACAGGAGAGGGGAAAAAAAATGACAAAGAGAACATGCCACAACTCCAGAAGCCAGATGTAATTTTACGACCATTATGGGTGCTGGGAACTGAGCTCAGGCCCTCTGCCGAGTACAGCCAGGACTGCCTGCCAAGCACCTCTCCAGCCCTGCTTCTGTGTTAAGAAGCCGGTTTCCCTTCCCTTTGCTATTTTAAAGCCCCTTCCAAAATGTAAGAAAATGGCTTAAGTGGAGCAAGAGAATTTTAAGTCCAGTTGTAGTCATAACTTTAGGTAATTAGAAATTCAAGACTTTTGACAATTTGGCCAAGTATTTAGTTGACCTGGGCTATCTGGAGATAGGGCATTTAGCTCATTTAAGACCAAGATTGTGTTTAACAAAGACCTAGCACCCATACTGGACCCCCACCATACCTATAACTCCAGTTCCAGGATCTGATACCCACTTCTGGCCTCACGGGACACACACACACACACACACACACACACACACACACACACACACACACACACACACACACACGATCCAAACAGGGAGAAAGGAAAAAGCTTAATTAAAACCATGTGCTAGGTATACAGTATCATTTGGATTCATATCCACTCGGAGCTTGATAAGCTCCTCTATTTTTCATCCTTGTACCACCTCTCTCGAATGGTACATCAGTAACCAGACTGGTTCCAAAAAGAACCTTAAAAGACAATTTGTTGTTGTTGTTGTTGTTCTTTGAGACAGGGTTTCTCTGTGTAGCCCTGACTGTCCTGGAACTCACTCTGTAGACCAGGCTGGCCTCGAACTCACAGAGATCCGCCTGCCTCTGCCTCCAGAGTGCTGGGATTAAAGGTGTGCACCACCACCACTACCCGGCTTTAAAAGACAATTTTAATTCCATCCTTTGGTCCCTTCTCATCATTGAGCCTCATGCTCTGCATCCAGAGTGGGACAAATGAAAACTGAATTAAAAGGACTCCTTTACGCTTAACTATGGATTACTCCAAAGTGTTCAATCACGTACTGAGGTTTGGGGTCAGACTGCCTGGGTTCCCATGTACTTCGTAGGCTATGCACCTTCCTAGGCTAAAGTACCCAACTTCTCTGTGTCTTATTCATGAAATCGGAGACAAAAATCCCACTGCCGGGCAGTGGTGGCACACACACACCTTTAATCCCAGCATGTGGGAGGCAGACTGATCTCTGTGAGTTCGAGGCCAGCCTGGGCTTCAGAGTGAGTTTCAGGAAAGGCGCAAAGCTACACAGAGAAACCCTGTCTGGGGGGTGGGGGGGATCCCACTGCCCTTAACTGCCTAGGGCTGCATTTCTTGAACTCAAGGTAGTAAAGGACAATTCTACTTTGTCCCAGACCTCTAGATATATGCACGATCACTAAGCAGGCCACCTCAGAGCATTCTGTACAGACACACAACCTGCTTGGATGCTGCAATGTCAGTGTCAACTTTCATAACACTATTTCTGTGTGTCGGGGGGGGGGGGGTTGTTTTCTTTTTCTTTTTCTTTTTCTGTTTTTTTTTTAGGTAATAGTTTGGGAGCATCCTCAGCTTGCTGTTCTTCAGTAGGGCTCTCAACCAAGAAGGTTAGGACTAGAAACATTTTGATTATGTGGACTACAAGAGGCGGGTGTGACTGCATCCAGAGATTAAAGGATAGTAAAAGAGAGGCTCAGGACAGCCTCTCCCCCTCCCTCAAATGAAAACAAAAACAAAAACCACGTGATCTAAGGTGTCAGTAGTATCCAGGCTGACAAACCCAGGTCTAAAGGGTTAGGCTGGAAATCTAGACAGGTACAAAGTATGTGGTCAAAACGTGGGAGAAACCAAGCACATAAAAGACAATCCAGAAACGATACCAGGTGGTCACTCACTTCAGATACACAGATGTCCTAATGAGGCGAGAAGGGAGGGCGGAGGCAGGACAGACAGATTCACTCTGGTTTGCCCAGGATCGAGCACCAGAGCTCTTCAAGGCCATGCACTAGAATGTGTGTGCATGTATGTTGTAGATACTCCCCAAAGTTGTTTCAAGCCCCCACAAACCCCAGACTCAAATACTGGCATTCACCACGCCCTACCCGGTTGTCCCTGAGTAACATAACTTTACCTCTGGGCTTCATTTTCCTTTTCCGTAAAACCGAAAAGCCCTACTTTTCTCATTAGCTTACAATGAAGCCCCCCCCCCAAAAAAAAAATACACGTAAACAGCGCTGAGCACAACACCTGGTGTGTAGGAAATGCCAAAACGTGTCCATTACAAACGCCATCACTGAGAACGGGCCTAGATGGCAGGAAGAGGGATGCAGGGTGAGCCCTACTGCCTAGCCTGGATCCATAGAGCCGGACATGAGCGCACAAACCCAGGTCTCCAGCTTCAAGTGCCAGCAGGTGCCGCCAGCACACAGGGCAAGAGCGCCGGCTCCCAAGGCTGGGGGCTGACAGCAGGAAAACCGGGCTCCTGAGGACCAGCGGTCCGGGACCAGCTCCCGCGCCTCCCGCCCGCCCGCTCCCCAAGGCCGGGACCAGCTCCCCGAGCTCGGCTCTGTCTGCAAATGCGCATCCCGCTCCGCCCCGTTCCAGCCCCGGCCCGGCCCGGCCCGCGCCGCTCACCCAGGTTCTGCCCGCGCAGCACCGCGTAGGGCCGGCTCCGCTCCGGCGGCACCCCGGGGCTCGGGGTCTGGGCCTGCCCCAGCAGGAGGCTGCAGAGCGCGGCCAACAGCCGCAGCCACCCCGCAGGCAGCATCGCTGCAGCCTGCCCCGCACCGAGCCCACGGACGCCGCTTCCGCCGCAGGCCCCGCCCCTAAGCGCACCCTTCTCCGCGGCCCGCCCACTCGGCCTGCGTGGTTGCCACGGAAACTAGACGGGGCGGGGACCGGGGGTAGACCGGACGAGGTTCCGCCAATGCGGAGTGGTCCGAGCTTAATACGGCACCCAGGCCAACTTCCGCCGGGGATCAACGTTCCGCCTGGAATGTTCCACCGCTGCCGCAAGCGCTCAAGTCAACCTACCCTGTGGACGGCTTTGCTTTACAAACCCAAGCGTTTAAATCGTATTGAATCGTCACCATGGTCTGGAGAAACAGACTATGCATTCCCATTTTACATGTACTCTCTCAAGGAACCTACGTCCTGAATATCTTTTTCTTTTCTTTTTTTGGTTTTTCGAGACAGGGTTTCTCTGTGTAGTTTTGCGCCTTTCCTGGAACTCACTTTGTAGACCAGGCTGGCCTCAAACTCACAGAGATCCACCAGCCTGATCCACCTGCCTCTGCCTCCGGAGTGCTGGGATTAAAGGCGTGCGCCAGGCCTGAACAGCTTTTTCTAAAACTGAGGCCTCCCCTTCTCTCAAAAATATACCCACTCTACCCAGCGCCACCCTTAACCTCATTGCCTTAAGCCTATCACCATTTGACTGACGAATTTAACACATATTTAACTATTAATAT